CGACTACGAGTGGACCACTGGCGACGAGGTGGTGATGTTCGGGTGCCGGGTGGCTTTAATGAGCTATGACCTTTATACTCAGGACCAGACAATGGCCCGAGGAGTCAAGAGGGGCGTTGATGGAGATTTTATATCTGTCCGGATAAGAGGTCAGCAGAAGGCTTAGCTTCTGGCAGGGGTCGCCTTAGTCTTGTTGCTCAGCTTGCCCCTAGCAGTTATTGTCTTGAGCGGAATTTTACCCCCCTAGAATACGCGGGGCAACCTGAGCACCCACGCTCAGAAGTGGAGTAGCTGGGTCGTGGATGCTTAGCGGGGGATTCTCCAGGGGTGCTGGTACCCTCCTGAGTTATTTTTATTTGATTTCACTAGTATTTTAAGGGGTGGGGGGAGGGGGATTGAGCCTCCTGCCACCTGCACTTACCAAGAAAAACGCAGAAGCAGTTAAGCCTCTACTTGACGCTGGTGTTCTGTGAGGTCGTGGTACCACCCCTTATTGAGCCGGCCCATCCATGCGACAGCAAAAGCTACAAATATTATGTCGTCGCCATGTTCCTGTATTGGACAGTTCCTATACTCTTTGGTTAGAAACAAAGAGTATAGTAATGTTAGAAACAAAGAGTAGGTAACTGATCTGCCTTGTTTCATAAAGTAATAAGAAGTACTAGCGCGTTATAAATTATGCCCCTATTATACTACACTGAATCAGAGCTCTGAATTAAGGGTGGGCGTGGCCCCTAATTAGAGAAGTCAGTTATTATACCCCTATTACACTACACTGAATCAGGGTCCCTAAGCCCTTAATAAGAGAGGTGGACAGATGTCATAAGAATAAGGCAGTAAGGGTCTCTAATTAGGGCGTCAAAGTGGACCCGGTCTGCAGTGCGCTTACCACCGTCCAGTGTAATAATACTAAGGGCAGTTAGGGCACTTATTCGAAGCGCAACTAGGGATGGTAAGATACATCAATTCTTTTAAACGTCGATATATCGTTCATAAGCATCGTTATTCATGAGCGATGTTTTATGAAAAATGTTTTGGCTTGCCGCCAAAAAGTCAGAGGCACGAACTTCCGACTTAACTATTCTAAAGTATAAAGTACGGTATGTCAAAAATTGGTCTTTAGTTTAGTTTATTTTTATTGTGATAATTAACTAACATAAGTTTACAAATATTGCAAATGGATTGAAATTGTTTTATTAATTTTTTAGCAATAATTATATTTTTTGAGCTTTATCTTGATCAATAACTTAAGAACAATCTTATAAGGTAATAGTTACTTTGTAACGAAAATTATTTTATCGACTTATGGAACTTCGTGTTTCATTATAATCACTTTTCTGAAATATTGATTTTGACGGATGAACGGTTATTCGCCTGTTTATATTTCGGCATAGTATAGTTTCGTAGATATATTCGCAAAAATCTATAATACTAACATATGGAACTACCATAAAAAAATTAACGCTTCACAACATAAGAAATAAACCTAAAGATAAAACTAAAGTAAAAAAAGAGTTTCATATATTCATATAATCACCTATTACTTACGTTACTTTTATTTTAGAAAAACAATCAGGGTTCCGAACAAAAAAATCAAAACCCATGAAATCCATCCGTAATAAATTCCACGAGAGTGAAGTCGCGGGGAACAGCTAATATATCATACAGTAGTCGTATCATTTCGTGATGTGGTGTGGTCATTTCATGATATTTAACAGTGTTTGTTGACCATGTCATGATATAGCTTGACCAAATCAATGAACATAAATCGTTTGAAGATATTATAACTAAACACAAAGTTGCTCTTTCATGATATGTCATATGACGATATCATTAAATCGTTTTTCACCGCTAGCGACGCTGATAGCGTACTTTTTAAGGGAAACAGCGAACATTTATTTATTATTGGTATGATAAATAAATGTTCGCTTTATATCGCTGATATTACTAGACAGTATAGTTTTGGCCTTCATTATTTTATCTAATAATAGCGCCATCTACTCTATTTTTTATAGGATAAGGGTGATAAACGAGCATACAGTCCACCTGATGGTAAGTGGTTGCTGCGGCCCATAGATATCTACATCTATCCTCCATTACAAATCAAAATGTAGATGCGTTGGCACTCGTGAGGACTTAGATGGAATGCCTCATTTCCAGTAAAAAGGGCCTCCGGCCACCTGCACTCACCAAGCGAAACGCAGAAGTAGACTTCACGCTGGTTTTCTGTGAGGTCGTGGTACCACCCCGGTTCGAGCCAGCCCATCCGTGCGACAGCAAAAGCTGCCGCGTGGCTCTACCACTGTTTTAAATTTTACTACTATATAAACTAAAATGGTAAGTCACTGATAAAATTAAATAATAGAATGTTACTGGATACACCATGTAAATAATTGAAAATTCGTTCGTGGCATCGTTGGATGTGGAATCACTAGGTAGATGTGGTCAACAATCATGCAAAAGCTTAGTTTCAGTTTTGATGAATTGTATTTAAACAAATATGAGGACCGTTTAGCTCACCGTGAGATTTCATCATGGCACGGGAGCATAACGTTTAGGATTCCTTCGAGGATGAATCTGTAGAAAATTTTACGTGCTGTCCACGTGTCCGTTAAAATGGTAAAGAATAACTTCGTGGGGAAACCTAGATGTCTGAGTAATTTAAGTAGTCATGGAGATGTGAAAACCGTTAATATGCATTGAAGCATTGCAGCGTTATTCTGCCTACAAAACACTGTAGGTAATTAGGAGCCCTGTGCATAATAATGAGACGTATATTAGCTGCTACTTTACTTTTTTACCTTTAATGACACTTATAAATCAGTTTCTAATTTAAGATATCTTTCATAATTTCAGATATATTAAGATATTTGTGACCGTCCTGGTTTCATAGCTCATATGAGTATATGTACATGAACAGACTCTTGCGGAAAATTACTTAAAATTGCATGATGTAGTAAGGTAAGGGCCAAAATTTTTTAACATAAAACAAGTATTAATTAAATATTTTATACTTTTATGTTATTTCTTTAGAATTGAATTTAAAAATAACAATTTTGACCACCTGGTGCCCAGTAAGCGGTTTCTCTCCTGGGTGATTGTAGATCCAGTCTCTGACAGGCTGATATACGCTGCGTAGGGATGTTGCATTCCTTTGCATTTTCTATCGTATCCACGGGGAGTGCTTTGAGGAATTGTTCGGATTAATTCCGACTGCCAAATTTCACGAAGACAGATCGCGTCAAAATTCACGTTATCCATCCTCACCATCTGTATAAAAGAAAAAGTATAATTTAAATACTTTAATTAAAAGGACCCATTCCTACATTATTTGTACAAGTAAGTATAATATTGTTATAATAAGACTTCAAAAATGTACCTTTCAAAACTTTAGATTAAAATAGAGACATATCTTTATACATTATAAAACTGTAGTATATTAAAGATAAAAAATCTTAAGATTATGCTATTTAAGCCATTGTGAACCCAACTAAGTATCTATTTATCAACCAAAAAAAAAATGTATAACCTTACTTCCACACCCGCACCTCACGGTCACACTAGTGCAATATTCAATCACGCTATTTTCCCCAAGAAGTTGCGCGGAGCTTCAGATGATATTCCCAAGTCACAATCATAAAACTTTTAGCGTAGTTAGAATAAATTTAGTAATGCTCTTGAAGCGCCACTAGACGCCCGCGAATGAGACGCGCGGATCAATGTGCCAGGATAGTATAAATTCCATAGTATTTAATACTCACAACCCTCGATGCCTGATTCATGCTTGATAGCCGACGACATTGTGCCGAGGGCTTAAAACGTAGAAAAGAGAAACTCGTGCTTAAATAATAGCTGCGTGGATCAAAAGATCTGCGAGATTAAGTTGCGTTTGCCGCAGCCAGTCCTTGAATGAGAGGCCATTTTTTTAACATACCAAGATTGGGAGAATAGAGAGTGCTTCTGTATCCTCAGACACTTGGTGTGCACTTTACTCTGTTAAGATCATTATGTTTTTAAAATTCATGTAGTTAAAATGATAATAAGTTTATTATTACTTTATACTTTTCAGGGACAAATGAAAGAACATAAACATGAAGCATGATGAAGCCTCATAAACATATTGACTTTTAAGCAGAGCAATCTTATTTAACTGATTCCTACAAGTTTCCTTACTTAAATTATTCAGTTTACATTCATATTTAAGTCGAATGTTAAAATAAACTTCTATAATGTATTTAATTAATAATTATTAAACGTTTGTAATTATCATTATATAAATAATTTTTTGCACAGAACCCTAATTCTTTTTCCAAAATAAAAATAGCCTACGTTACTCCTTATGACATCATCTGTTTGGCAGTGAAAGTCCGGTCAAAATCGGTCCAGCCGTTTTGGAGATTAGCCGGAACAAACAGACAGATAGACAGACAGACAAAATTTAAAAAAATTGTATTTTAGTTATAAGTACCATATTTACTTTCATATGCATTTAGTAAAGGGCTGTTATTTTGACATTACAAAGAGACACTTCAATTTTATTTATTTGTATAGTTGGAAGAAGTGTATAAGACAGAATCAGAAGTAGGAGTTTTGGCGGGAACTTCAATTGTGAAGGATGGCTGCTCTTGTATTATTATTTAAAAATAATGATTTGAATTTGATTTTGATATATAAAAGTGGTGCAATTTTGTGTATTAAGTGTCTACGCATGTGAACTATTAGTGGAAACGGTGAAACAAGTGCTCTGATGGTGATGTGATTCTCAAGATAAGGTGTGTGTCTGCTTAGGCGCCTTGAGATATCATCGTCAACTGTCAGCTGTCTGCTGGCTTAAGTTGCCGTCAAAATCTTCTAAGAGCTGCACAATGTGACGAATCGACATATTGTGAAGCAGTATACTACTATGAAGGATAATTATTATACATTGTAACTTCAGGCTCAGAAGGGCTAGAACCCAGAGCCGTAAAGCCAGTTATAAAAAAAAAGAATCAGAAGTAAATGTTTCTTGTTTATTTTGATATTATATAAAATATGTTTTGAGATTTTAATTTTATGGAGAAAATAACATGGAGACTAATTATAGCAGAAATAATTATCTTCATCGTCAAATATCGTATACATTCTAAGGTATTGTGAGTACTAGTATTTTCATTCATAAATTTATGTTTACTTATATTCGCCCGCGAAATATTTAAAGCAAAATGCTTTAGTTTAAAAGTAAGGGAAGATAGTGTAAAAGAATAATTTCAAAAATTTCTATTAATTAATGTGCTGCAGTTATTGCCGCGTCTTATTCTGTAAATCGCATCTCATGTTCGCTTGCATGATTTAATGAGTTGTCATGAAAATCTGAATCCTATGTTATTGCCATTAGGTTGAATTTGTTATATGAAATGAATCTGATGCGCTCGAACCGGAATAAGGACGCGTAACAAGTTGGGTTGAAGCTTAGCGTCGGCAACAAAATTGTATAATTTTTATTGTTCTTTGGTATAGTTTCTAAATATAAATTTTTAAAAATCAGTAAAAAGTTGACAAAATAATGAAAAATATTATTATTATTTTGAGTTGGCTGATATTATAGATATCTGGAAAATTTAATTCAAGTATAACATTTTCGATGTAGTATGAATTAAGTAGGTGGTATAAATAAGGGCTTATGTCTTACGTACATCAGATGCCACTAGTTGGGTCTGTCTCAGGTGAATTTACTTATCATGCAAATGGTCACAAAGTGTCGAAAATATGCATTTTAAAAAAAGGTTTAGGTTTAGTAGTTCTAGTGCATGTATTTTCTTATGACCTCCTGATGGAAATTACTTGTTGTGATCCATAGACATCTACATCCATTCTAAACCTATGAATCAAAATGTAGATGCGTTTCCTGTAAAAGGGGTCTCTGGTTCTCTACACTCACCATACGAAACACAGCAGCATTAAGCTGCTATTTTACGCTGGTATTCTGTGAGAGCATGGTCCTCCCCTGGTCGAGCCGACCCATTCGTGCTATAACTATACTACTGATAAAGCTGCAGCATGGCTCATGTATGTTACTCAAAACAATACCATAGTGCTGTTTTTTTAATTCTTTACACAATTTCAACTATTTTTGATTAATCTTCTCTTAGGATTATCCATTATGGCTAATCCATCATATAATCATGTAATGAAAACAAAAAATTAACTAATATTTAAATAAGAAACCTTAATTTTTAAACTTCTCTACACAGTATAAAACAAAGTCGCTGCCCGCCGTCTGTACGCTTAGATCATTTAAACTATACAACGGATTTTGATGCAGTTTTCATCAATAGACAGAATGATTCAAGAGGAAGGTTTATATGTATAATAAATGCATATTATATATTACATGATTCTTCTGTCCATGTGTATGTGACTGAACTCCTAAACGGCAGGACTGATTTTGATGAAATTATGTGTGTGTGATGAAGTTGATTAGAGAAGTGTTTAGATTCACAATTGGATCTGATAGGTGGCGTTGTTGCCCAGATCCAGAAATGCACGGCAGTAGTGAAAACTTCTTAGATTCACAAACTTGTAAACATTATTTACATATCTATCTGAGCGTGACGTTCTTGCGAGCTCAGTGCATTTTCCCCATCCCAAAAGTGCCTAAAGAAGTTTTCACTTTAAAAATTTAATATTTTTTTTAAATACTATTAATGCTATTAAACATTACTAATATTCCCTTTAACCACATCTGGTAAGCTTTAAATGCTTGTGTTAGAAGTGGTTCACGACAGTAGTCGAATTGTGGATTCGAACCCACAACCTTTCGAGTTCGCGTTCCGCACCCTGCCATTTAGTTACTGACGCTTCAAAAATTAATACATAATATATTGCCTATTCCAAATAACAGTATTCTATGTTCCAGATCTAAACGATTGGAAAATATGGGGAAGTCCTGCTGTGTTGTGGGATGTGTTGCTAAGGATGTCACATACTTTAGGTAAGCACATGACCACCCTACCAACATGAATAAGATGTTTTTTTTTATATGGGATAGGGTGACAAACAAGCACAAACAGTCCACCTGATGGTAAGTGGTTGCTGTGGTCACAGCCCGTAAACCATAGCGAGGGCCCTTGGACGGAAGTTGTGGCGAGTCAGTGTGCGAATATTACGTCCATGGATCCCGTCATCATAACGCCGGATGACGTAGTGGAGGTGGTCCGTAGGGCCCCGAACTGGAAAAGTCCGGGACTCGACGGACTGCATCACTACTGGCTGAATGGGTTCGTGGTGTGTCACCCTGTGCTCATCCGTCAATTTCAAGAGGCTCTCGACCAAAAGTCACTCCCGTGCCTTTTCACTACTGGGATCACTCATTTGGTTCCTAAAGACCGGGATTCCACCTTGCTCGGGTCCGCCCCATAACGTGTCTATCTACCATATACAAGACACATCCATTTTGAGCGCTAGAATCACTCGTCACCTGAACTCAAATCAGGTGATGTCGTGCGCTCAAAATGGATGTCGGGGCGGTGGTCGTGGAACCAAGGAACCACTCCTCATTGACGCGGTCATTGGCAAGGTGGTTAAACGCAACCGTCGGAACCTCTCCGCCGCCTGGATAGACTACAAAAAGGCTTTCGACTCGGTGCCTCATACATGGCTTAAAAGGATGCTCGAGCTGTACAAGGTTGAGTGTACGGTTCGAGACTTCCTCGGGCAGTGTATGAGGCAGTGGAGTACGATTCTTTGTCATCTAGGCCAGAGGATGACGGCTGTGGAGAACCACATAAGGATAAGAAGGGCCTTTGCTTTTGCCTTCCAGGGCGATTGTTTGAGTCCAATCTGGTTCTGCCTCTCTCTGAACCCTCTCAGTACCTTACTGGAGGGCTCCGGGAGGGGATTTCAGCTTCGGAAAGAAGTTACAAAAGTGACCCACCTTTTCTATATGAATGATCTCAAGTTATTCGCCTCTAGTCGCTCCCATCTTATGGAATTGCTAAACATCACTTGTGATTTTAGCAATTCTATTGGAATGGAGCTGGAGACGGATAAGTGTGCGATCCTCCATGTCGAAAGGGGAAGGATTGCTAACTCCGAGGGCATATACTTATCTATGCCCATCAGCATAAGGACCCTTTCCGAGGCTGAAACATACCGATACCTGGGTATGTCACAGAACATCGGTGTCGATGAGGCGGGTATGAAGCAGTCAGTTTGCAATGTGTTTTATGCACGCTTGACAAAAGTACTTAACAGTCTCTTGTCGGGCGTTAATAAGACACATGCATATAACGGTTGGATCATGCCTGTTCTCATGTATACATTTGGCATACCCAGGTGGACTCTGACCGAACTGAACGCTCTAGATAGAAAAGTCCGCACTATTATGACGTCCCACAGGATGCATCATCCGATATCGTCGGTAATGAGGCTGTACTTGCCGCGGAAACATGGTGGGCGCGGCTTTTTAAGCGCATTCCGTATGACGAGAACCTCGTGAAAGCCGAAACAGATAAGCGTACAAAATATATAGACCTGGCTCACGAGGTGACCGACATGTGGGGCGGACTGCCGGCCGAAATTATACTTGTAGTCGTTTCTGCGAACGGGTTAATCCCAGTCAGCCTCTCGGGTCATCTGAGGCGACTGGGACTCCGTGACGGACCGCTCCAAGCTCAAATGCAGAAGGCGGTGCTCCTCGATACCGTCCGCATCGTCCACCGGTTTCTTTCCCTTTCCCCCTAACCCGCGGCCGTTTGGTCTTCCCTGCCGAGGGCTTCCCATCTGGTTGGGTTTTTATTTATTTATGTATTTTTTATGTGTTTACTTTATTTTGTTGATATTTATGTATGTTTATCATTTTCATTTACAATTATATATTTATACAGCTCAACCAGATGAGTAAACTATATAGATGCCCCAAATAATAATAATAAGCCTTATTTATTCTGAACTTCTCGGTTAAATATTAATACTAGACATGTTCTTGTTTGTTATAATATGTCCCGAAGCTCAGTTTGCCTTTTGGCATAGGCCTCCTCTAACATTTACCACTGGGACCTGCCCGCGCTACCCTTCTCCAATGATGTCCAGCCGTGAGTTTTAAGTCGTCTCCCCATCTTGTTTGTTGGCGTCCTCTACTTCTCTTGCCATCTCTGGGATACCAGTCAGTAACAGTTTTGCACCACTTCTCTTGTGGATTACGCATCATGTGACCTGTCCATCTCCACTTCTGTTGGTCTATTCGGGTTATTATATCGACAACTTTGGTTTTATCCCTTATTATGCTACATCTTATTCTGTCCTGTTTCCGTTATTCCTGTCAAACTTCTCTCCATGGCTCTGATAGCGATCCAACTTTTCTCTATGGTGTTTGGTGAGTGCGCAGGTTTCGCAGCCGTGAGTAATGACTGGAAGTATGCATGTGTTGAAAACTTTCCTTGTTATTTGCATACTTAGCCCCTTAGATTTTACAACTTCTTTCAATGACCAGTATTTCTTCCATCCATTTCCTATTCTTCGATCAATTTCTTTAGTGGTTTGATATTTGTGAGATATTATCTGTCCTAAGTAGTATAATTACTGGTTTAGAGTTTGTAAGCAGTTTTGTTTTCTCTTTGTTCATGCTCTGGCCCACTTTCAGGCTTTCTTCCTTCAGTGATTCTATAATTTTAACAAGATGCGTCGGGTTTTCCTCGAATAAGACACTATATCATCTGCAAATCTTAGGTGGTTCAGTTTTACACCCTGCTACGGTCTCAATGACCGTAATCTTTCCAGTCTAGTTTGCGGAAAATATTTTCCAGAGCAGCCGAGAACAGTTTTGGCGAAAGAGGATCTCCCTGTCTTACTCCCCGCTCGATTTGAACTTTTTTTTCCAAGGTTTCTAGTTTGATCCTCGCTTCGCCGTTCAAGTATATGTTCTTTATAATATTTATATAATTTAAAGGTTGTAATGTTACTGTTGATTTAATAATTTCACCTCTCAGTGGTTCATGTGCTCCTGGTAGATTATCTTCTATACATACATCCATTACAGCATATTAAAGTCCACTGCTGCACATACGCCTCCCCCATAGATTGCCTCATAAGAGGGATATTTGCCATAGTTACTACCCACGGGCTGGCAGTTTTTTATTTTTAGTCATTATTAGGATGACACTGATGTCCATGACTTATCTCTCTCTTTCGCTTGTACGACACCCACGGAAGGATATGGGGCAGTGGATATTCTTACACCGCCACTACACGGTAACAACGTCCGTCAGCGGCGCTGTTTAAGAATTCCGCGGTTGCATGATCAATAAGAATTACATATAAGTAATCTTTAATGAATAAAACAATAAAAACATTCTATTCTATTCTATCCTTGATGTCACAGGTTCCCCAATAGCCGTACTCGCTGCAAGAGGTGGATGGAGGCGATCAAACTGGCCTCCAAACCCTCGGACAAATCCATGGTGTGCAGCGCTCACTTTCACCCGGACGACTATAATTTTGTCAGGGGAAAGGTCCGGTTAAAGCCTAAGGTAGTGCCTTGCGTGTTTAAGGTAAGTCTAGATCTTCTAATAAAGACGCCCTTCCCTCATTGTGACAATACTGAATAGTTATGGTAGGTGGTAGGGTCTCCTTTTGGCGCCTAGCAGTATGTGAGGAGGAGGATGTTACACAGCAGTGTAAACGTTGTTATTTGATGGCAGAAATAGATACATTTCTGGTACAGTGATAACGTAGTAGAGCCATACTGCAGCTATGTTTATGGTGTTATGCTATTATGGTTGCAGCACGAATGGGTCGGCTCGACCGGGGCAGGACCACGTGGTCACAGAATACCAGCGTGAAGTAGAGGTTTACCTCTGCGTTTCGCTTGGTGAGTGCAGGTGGCCGGAGGCCCTTTTTACTGGAAATGAGGCATTCCATCTTAGTCCTCGCGGGTGACAACGCATCTTCATTTTGATTTGCAAACGAGGATAGATGTAGATGTCTATGGGCCGCAGCAACCACTTACCATCAGGTGGACTGTGTGCTTGTTTGTCACCCTTATCCTATAAAAAAAGCAGCTTAACACTGCTGTGTATCGTATGCTGAGTGTAGAGAACCGAAGACCCATTTTACTGGAAAAGGGGCATTCCATCTTAGTCCTCACGGTAGACGACGCATCTGCATTTTGATTCTTTATTGAGGATAAATGTAGATGTCTTTGGGCCACAGCATATACTTACTGGACTGTGTTTGTGTGTTGTCACTCTAATTCTAAAAAAAAACATCGGTACATCAAACACTTTAATCTTCTGTGGCCATGGGTGCTATAAAGCACCCGAAACATAATTCAAATCAAAGATAATTCAAAAAAAAAACATGCGCGAGTGTCGTGGAACACTCGGTTGGAACGAAGTTCCTTTCGTGGTATGTTTATTATTGATAAACGTATTATATTATTGATTAACAAATACAAATAAATGAATTACTAGCGTCTATTAAAATGAAGCGTCATTTAAAATAAAATAATACTTCTTTCATGGCAAGATAAGAAAAAGCGCGAGGGAGATGGACATTATTTCATCTAGCTCACACTATAGAAAGGGGGTCGTCGCGGAAAAATCTTACACTTTTTCTCGCCTAGCCCCCACCCGTCAAATTCGTACCATGCGATAAGGAATTTCGTTCCAATAAACGCTATAAAATGCCAAAAGTTGATTTTATTCCATTTCAGCTGCTAACTTTTAACTTACAGAGTGAACAACCAAAAACAAAACAAGCAAACTTTCGTCCCTGTGACAATATCAATAACAGTGATGGTCCGGAGCACAGAACACAGTGTGACAGTTTTGATGATGCCGTCTCAAATAACAAGGGTGATACTGCGTCTAATAAAAAGAAAAAAAAGAAAGAGAAGCAAACAAACAGAACAGCAAAGGATGTTAAGACATGTACAAGAAAAACGAAATTGTCCGAGAGGTATGGTCATTTTTAATTATTATAAAAGAAATATTTGCAATAGCTTATAGTGAGTGGTATGATATAAAAAAACTGATCAAGTGCGAGTCGGACTCGCGCACAAAGGGTTCCGTGCCAGCATATAAAGTTTTTTAATTAATTTTTATCTTTATTATTTGTTGTTATAGCGACAACAGAAACACACGTTCTGTGTAAATTTCAACTGTCTACCTATTACGGATCATGAGATACAGCCCGCTGACAGACAGACGGACGGACAGCGGTGGCTTAGTAATAGGGTCCTGTTGGTTACCCTTCGGGTACGGAACCCAAAAAAGGGTGACTGAAAAACACACAGTCCACCTAATGGTAAGTGGATGCTGTGATCCATAGACACCTTCATCTATCCTCAATTAAAAATCAAAATGCAGATGCGTTGTCAGCCGTGAGGACTTAGATGGAATGCCCCGTTTCCAGTAAAAAGGGTCTCCGGTTCTCTACACTCACCACATGAAACACACCAGTGTTAAGCTGCTATGCTCTGGTATTCTGTGAGAGCGTGGTTCTTTCCTGGGTCGAGCCGACCCATTCATACCACAACCATAATAAATCTGTAGCAACAACACCCCTAGGACGATATGGGGTAGTGGATATTCTTACACCACCATGAATTTTAAAATTAACTACCTAAGTATGATTATGACCCACTATAATTAGAAGTATTACCGTAATCACCATTATATAAGCATACTATTGACGGCTCCATGGCGTAGTGGCTTAGCAATAAGTTCCAGCGCTAAGGGCCGCGGATTCTAATCCCGCACGGAACAAGAATTTGTATGACCTACAAATAATTGTTCCGGGTCTGGATGTTTGTCCTTGTGAAATTTATATTTGTAAACTGCCCCCACGATACAGGAGAAAATCCTAGTGCGGAGGTAACGTTTAAAAAAATACGATACACAGGGTTTTTACAATACACATTTTGCAATAACCAGTCAAATTTGCAGAGAAGGCTCAGAATAAGTAATATAGGCAAATGGTGAAGAAAAATTAAATAAAAACATTCTGTCCTTTTCATCTTTTAATTTCATAATACGTGGTAATCCATTATTTTAACTGATTTTACTGCGCACGCACACATACGTAAGGGTCGATCGGTATACAAAAACGTTGTTGCCCATAAATCACATCCAATTTGTGATAATTTCAAATATAAGTAGAAGCCTTATGTATTTTCAAAAATTGCAATAACGGTATATCATTATTTATACTTTAAACACTAGGAACAAACATAAGCTTGTAATACCAATCACTAGACTCCACAGAATCAGTAATTCATTTATGGGGCAATGTATACGCTTTTACAACAAAATCCCAGAACATATTCAAAGTTTGTCAATAAACAAGTTTAAAAGTTTTATTAAAGAAAAACTGTACAAAAAGGGTTATTATAATATCAAGGAATACATGAATGAAAATAACCCCTGGGAATAAGGTGATCGTCACCATGCTGGTTCTATGAAAAATTATTTAAAAATTGTATAAACGAAATTGTTTGGAAAAAAAAAGTCCCGCTGGGTTTCTTGCTGGTTCTTCCCAGGACAGAGGTATTTTCCGAACCAGTGGTAGATAAAAATGACTTTCAATAAGAATTATGTAATAATCGATATTGAATAAAAAATTATTCTATTCTATATATTTGAACATAAGTTTTAAAATTTGACTACTCTTTGAAAAATAACCCTGTATATAACTTGTCCACTAATAACTTGTTTTGTATCTCTTTTCAGTGTCACTGAAACGGTGAAACCCAGTTTGAACCCCGACGTGACAATAACAGAAAAGGACGATATCGAAGATATACTAACATATTTCAACATAAAGCAGAACAAGCAGGTCGTCGAACGACAAAACGCAGAATTACAGGAGGACAAGAACAGACAGCAGAGTGCGAGAGCAATCGGAGAAAAAAGGGATGACAACTGTGTGATTGATTTGGCTTCGATTGAGACGGAGGCCAAACCTGTGTTTATAGAGATAGCTACGGATCAAGGTAATGCTTTTTATCTATATAAATAAAATGGCAGAGGTTTGCAGTTGTGTGCGCATCCCGGAAAAAACTGTTGGATAGATTTCAATTAGATTTTCTAAGTTTTATTTGTTAGACACTTGGCCCTTATCTAAAACAAAAATTATTGCGATATCTTCATTTAATATAAAGTTACTAAAGTTTTAACCGGTTCAGTGCGGATGGTACGCCAGGTGTGCCGTCGATTATTTTTGTGTGTGGTGTATGACACGCGAGTCGTGTCTTTTAAAAATCGTTATAGCTCGCTCAAATTGCATTTTTGGAAAAAAATTCCAGAACAAAATATTCATTATTTTGCAAGCAGTTCATGCCTACGGCTTCGTTTCGTGATATTTTGAAAATTTGAAATTTTTAGGGGTTGACAACCTTTTTTTAACTTGTACATGGTACTCTTTTTACTTTGTGGGTTTTAAATCATGTTGTGGAAAAATAGTCAAATAAGTAACAAATAATACCAATCATTGCGATCGCTCACAAACTCAAGTTGTAAATAAATTACTGGAAAACAAGCCGCCTGTTAAAAAAAACAATGCGTTTGTCTTATTGTTTAATTTTGCTTAAAATGGTTGAGCTGCCATCTTATTATTATCATATGGCCGAATAGACCTACGAAGTACCATGTGCTCTTGTGATATGGTATAAGGTTTATTTTTGCTTGAAACAGTTCGAAACCGTTTATGCATAAAAAAGTTCGCTAATAAATAGTCTTTTGTCAATCCGCCGCCGTATAGCGCCGGCTTTTTTTCCTTTTGAAAACACTTGTTTTGCTATTCTTACTACTTAGACGTTTTCAGATCAACTTTACTTTTACATTTGTATAACATTAAATAATATTTAACATTTGTAAATCAATGAATAATAAACCTTATTTTCTTCTAAATTAAGGTTCTTGATTGTTTGATATTTACAAATGTTATTATTAGGTGAAAGTTTAATTTAATAAAAGAACAAGGTTTTCCAGGGTGATTTAGCTGTACCTACTTATATAAATGATTTTTTTTATAAAACAAAAAATAGTACAAAAGGTTCGTAATCTCTGCATAAAAAAAGTCACCTACTCTCAATTTCAAAGGAAACACGTAGTTACCCACTAAAAACAAGTATCCTTCCGTTTGTAACTGATGTTTGATGTCAACTAAACTTAATTAGGTCTAAAAAAGTGAAAAAAAAATATATTTTTCTACATTAAATTACAAACAACGATTTTTATAAGCACTACGTGTTCTGTGATGTGTTTGCTTGATATATCAAGCAACGCGGGCGATGTTGCGGGTATCAGCTAGTTCTTGATAAAATAAAGTAAGGGTTAATAACCTTTCGTTCACCAGATGTCGCTAGTTGGGACTGAGGGGAAGTTTTCTTTTTTTACAAAATGTTTTTATAATTGAGAAGTTGCGTTCTAAATAACATTTTATCGCTTTCTACAGTATTATATAAATACACAACACATTGCCTCAGTGGTTTCTTCCTTAATGTTTTTCACATTTTTAACTATATTTTTTTAATTTTGGGGGTTTCGTACCCGAAGGCTAAACAACGGCGCCCTATAACTAAGCCTCCGATGTCCGTTCATCCGTCCGTCCGTCTGTTTGTCAGCGGGCTCTACCGATCCGTAATAGCTAGACAGTTGAAATTTTCACAAAATGCGTATATCTGTTTCCGCTATAACAACAAAATAATAAAAATAAAAATAAATCATCCCTATTAAATAAGCTCCCCTACTAGAAACGTGTGTGATGGTACGGAACCCGTCATGCGCGAGTCCGACTTGCACTTGGATGGTTTTTAGGAATATTTGTAGTTTGGTTTATTCATTTCGAATCTAACTAATATAAAATATAACGAATATTACCAAAAAGACTTTAAACTTTACGTTTTCCTTAAAAATTAACTCCAACACCGTGTAATTTATCAAATATTTCAACTTGTTGCTTAGTGGCGCCGCCCTAGTGGCAAAAGAGTCTCAGAACAAGAGTGTAACATGTATGAACTTTACAAAGCGCAAGCTCGGCCTCACATGGAATACTGTTCCCCAGTGGGCAGCTCCTTCTACTTGACCGCATCCAGCGCAGAGCGGTTCGAATCGTCGACGACCGAGTCCTCTCCGATCGGTTCGATTCACTGGCGCTGCGAAGAGATGTTGCATCATCCCTTTGCATGTTCTGTCGCATCTACCACGCAAAATTTCACGAACGCACATCGCGTCAAAAATCACGATACCATCCTCACCATCGATTGATGCGTGGCGGTACACGACTGTGCGTTTTATTTGAAATTTTCTCTTCCTCGTACAACTTCTCAGTGGAATTGTTTTCCGGTCACCCACCGGCGATTTTTCCGGACCGGTACAACTTAGGGACCTTCAAAAAAAAGAGCTTACACCTTTCTAAAAGGCTGGCAACGCATCTGCAATTCCCCTGGTGTTGCAGTTGTTCATGGGCGGCGGTAGTCACCATCAGGTGAACCGCATGCTCGTTTGCCCACTCTCCTATAAAAAAAAACCTCGTTTTCAGAAGTCAGTTAAAGTAAATTATATTGTTCTATCCATTTACAAATAATATACATTAACTATGTGTTAAAAAGATAAAGGTGACCAACGAGCACACATTCCACCTGATGGTAAGTGGTTGCTGTGGCCCATAGACATCTACATCTATCCTCGTTTGCGAATCAAAATGCAGATGCGTTGTCATCCGTGAGGACTAATATGGAATGCATCTTTTCCAGTAAAATGGATCTCCGGTTCTCTACACTCACTAAAAGAAACACAGCAGCGTTAAGCTGCTATTTTACGCTGGTATTCTGTGAGAACGTGGTCCTTCTCCGGTCGAGCCGACCCATTGGTGCTACAACTGTACTACTAATATAGCTGCAGCTGTTTATTTCAGTTATTTCTATAGCATAATGTTTTATGTGATTTGGATCGATAATGCTGATGTTTATTGTCTATAGTTTCCATTCCTCTACAGAGCAACCGAACGGCACGGGTTCCGGGAGTGATTGTCTGATGGTACTCGAAAGTGTCCAAGTGGATTTGGACCCCAATGAACTGATGCTGCCGGAGAAGGGGGTAGAAATTGAAGAGGACGAAGAGGACGTGATTGTGATATGTGATAAGTAAGTGAACCAAGAATTTTTTGTAATTTGTATACGTTTTCACAACAAAATCCCGGAAAACATTTTTTTTTGACCGGCACAAAGTTCAAAAACTTTATTAAACTAAGTATGTATAGAAAGGATTATTGTAATATTAAGGAATTTATGGATGATAATAACCCCTGGGAATGAGGTAATTGCTACCAAGCTATTTCTAATTTGTTTTGTGTTGTTAATTTGTGTAACATACATGATTGTAAGCTGTTATTTAAAAAAAAGTCTCGCTGGGTTTCTTGCTGGTTCTTATCAGGACAGAGGTTTTTTCCGAACCAGTGGTATATAAAAAAAGTTACTTTCAATGAGTATTATTTATAATTTATATTGAATAAAGAAGTTTCCGTTTCTGTATTAGCATCGTTGTTTCACAATGATGAGTGTTAACAAAACCTGCTGTATGTTGAGAGCATGAGAATATCCATATTGTCCCGTGACTGTCGTAAGAGGCGACAGAGGGGAACAAACCAGGAGATGGGTAGCAGCGTCTTCCTGATAACAACTACTAAAACACTGCAGTTGCCAACCCGCTTGCGTGGTCTATGGCAAATATCCCCGCTATGAGGCAATCTATGGGGGAGGCCTATGTTCAGCAGTGGACTTTAATAGGCTGTAATGGATGGATGTATAGAAGATAATCTACCAGGAGCACATGACCCACTGAGAAGTGGATTTTTCAAATCAACAGTAAAATTACAATTATGGCAAATATCCCCTCTATGGCGGAGGCCTATGTTCAGCAGTGGACTATGATAGAATGTAATGCATAATGATAAACCAATTAAAAACTGAGGGAGATAACTGCTGTTCCTGTTTGATGAGTGTCCTTCTGTCCTGGTGTGACAACGTATCTGTATTTTAACTCTTAAATGAGAACAGATGTCACTGTCCATGGGTCACAGGTCACAGCATTCCCTTACCATCAGGTGGACTATGGTTTAATTTACTTGGTAGCACGAATGAGCTGGTTCGACCGGGGAAGACGGCGCTCCCACAGAATACCAGCTTAAAATAGCAGATTAATGCTACTGTTTCGTATCGTGGGTGCAGAGACCCTTTTTACTGAACTGAAAACAAGGCATTCCTACTTGTTGTCAGTCCTCAGGGGTGACAACCGCAGAGCAAATACTAAGAGGCGTTGTAATTACATTTCACTATGTAACAACGCGTGACAATTTGCGTGGTGAGGGGATGTTAAGCTCCGCCCACTTTACTATTTTCCATCTACTGATAAATAATAAAACTACTCGCACCGTTCCATATCGATGTTGCAATGTAGTTTTAGTTACCTTGACGATAGATGGCGGCCTGTTTACAAAATGATTATAAAAACTATATATAATATTTTGGCGATTAAAAATTCTTTAGGACTGAATGCAAAACAAATTTCAACACCTTCGTATGATTATTTTACCAATACTGAGCTCTACGTACCTTTATGTATATTTTTAGTCCCCATGACACAAGTGTTGCCATCTAGTGTCGAATATATTTAATTACATTTGAAAGCCGACGCAGAGATTTTTCTAGAATCTTTCTAATAAATCAGGTATAAAATTACTTACAAATACACGATACGAAATAGTAGCATTAAGCTGCTATTTTAAGCTGGTATTCTGTGGGAGGCTAAATCCTATAGATTTATATGTTTCTCTCTTTAAGTGTCGCTTTTTCATTTCATCAAATTTCAAATCAACAATCTAAAGAAATTTCAATTAAAAAATTCTGTTTCCATTTCAGGCCCGATGACCCGATCAGCCTGCTCACCTCGAGCGACGAAGACGACGTGATAATCCAGGAGCCCCGCATCGAAACCGTCGAGGTGTCCGACGAAACTGACGAGGACGATGTGCCTCTAGTCAAGCTGATAAAGACCAAATCCAAAAAGAAGAAGAAGAAACGCCTAAACCCGTTCTCCAGAAAGAACACTTGGGGCGATTACCTTTACAATTGCATGGATTGCCAGTACAGAAGCGACAGCAAACTGGAGTATGAGGAGCATGTTACAACGCACTCCACTTTGATTTACATGTGCCACATTTGTGAATACATCACGGCCAGCAAGGTACTGTTCAATAATCACCAGAAGAAGCACAAAGAAGACAAGCGTTACGAGTGCCACCTCTGCGGATACAAGGCCAGGCACAAATTGAGCCTGACCTACCACATGAAGTCGCACAACAGTGTTAGTGATGGTGTTGAAAGTGACAGTAAAATTCCCAAAAGTGACAGTGACAGTACGAAACGGAGAGGGTCGAGGCGTAAGAAGCCTAAGTGATGTGTTTGTTGTTGTTTGGTAACTCGACCAAGTGGAAATCGAACCTAATAAGACACAATAGTACCGTGCACAAAATAAGCAACTTTTCAATATGGGGTATGTAATTGAGTTTGGTAATAAACTTATTTTGAGGGTACTTTTTTGAGTACTTATCCGTCAATGTTGATGGTCGGAGGACAATATTTTAAAACAATATTATTTTCTACGGCTCCGCATCTAAGCATGTAGTTTGCATGTGCGTATATTATATTTGTGAGGTTAAATATATATAGTCGTTAAGTAATGGCGGTTCACAGCTATGGAATGTTACACGTTCATTCCACCTTTAATGTGAATTGCATTATTGATATAAGGTGTGTGAGGGTAATATGGTTACCTTAAGATTTGTCGCCCCTTAAAACCAAAACTAGGAGGACAGAGACAATAACACAAAATCATATACTGTAATGTATACGTGGTAGAGCTACGCTGCAGCTATATTAGTAGTATAGTTGTAGCACGAATGGGTTGACTCGACCAGGGAAGGACCACGCTCTCACAGAATACCAGCGTAAAATAGCAGCTTAGCGCTGCTGTGTTTCGTCTGGTGAGTGTAGAGAACCGGAGACCATTTTTACTGGAAGCGAGGCATTTTAGTCCTCACGGGTGACAACGCATCTGAATTTTGATTATTTTTCGAGGATAGATGTAGATGTCTATGGGTCACAGTATCCACTTACATCATCACAGTAACATCCATACCTATTCAGACGAATTCCAAGGCTAAATAGGATTCCTGACACCTGATTGAACTTGAATACAGGCAGAATACATTAGCTGTTGCATTAAAAAAGTTAAATTCTGTGTTTGCATTTAGTGCAATTCTATTGTAAGTTTTTGTAATATATAAAAATAAATTGCTGTCTGTTAAGTGTCACTAAAACTCGAAAACGGCTTTTCGAGAGTGGGTGAGTGGGTCCCTGGATGGTTTAGATTCACAATTGGACCCGGTAGGTGGCGCTACTGTCGAGATACAGAAAACGCCCGTGTGAAGCCGGTGTTTTTTGTAATATTTAGTAATTTCTATGTGTTTTTGTAATATTGAAGCGCTGGTCGCATTAATCTATGTAAATACTGTGTAACTTAATTAACCAGTAAATAATACTTGATTATAAACCGTGTTTTGATTTTTATTACAACATGAACACAAAATATCTGGGCGTAACGAAGACCGAATTTCTGTTACGACGACCAGTCTCACCAGACACTAGCTATCTGTGTAGGACAGGACTATAGTGCACGTGTGTGTGCAAGCACAGTTGCACTCTCTATTGCCTCACTCTCATAGTACGATGAGACGGTACACCGCCACGAGAGAGATCAGGCGCAGGACCAACGGCTTTACGTGCTTTTAATTTGGGCGGTGGTGAAATAACGACAACTTCCTGACTCCGGGCTGTTAATGAGATTTTCTTGATAGAAAAACTTAATATCTGATTTTAGCTCGACCCGGAATTTCAAGATCAACGAGGCAGTGAAATGCGACTGAATATTACCACGTAATGCACGTTATGGCTGAAGCATGAATGGGTTGACTCAACTCGGAAACAAATATTTGTACGCTCACACAGAATAACAGCGTGAAATAGCAGCTTAATGCCACTGTGTTTTATATGGTCAGTGTAGAGAACCAGATACTCTTTTTATTGGAAACGAGGAATTCCATCTTAGTCCTCACGGGATGCTCGTTTGTCACCCATATCCTATAAAAAAAGCGGCCAACTGCGAGTCGGACTCGCCCATGAAGGGTTCTGTAGTAGCAAGTAACGTAATATAAAAGTTCTTGTAGTTCGTTGTAACTTTAATCGATGTTTTAATAATAGTGTATTTTTTATTTTTATATTAGAGTTGATTCAATGAAAGGTAAATTGCGGTTTACGATTTATAACGTATTAAAAAAAATACTTACTAAATCTCGTTGAAACCAATTTTCGGTGGAAGTTTACATGGTAATGTACATTACATATTTCTGTTAGTTTTATCATTCTCTTATTTTAGAAGTTACAGGGGGAGGGAGGGGGGGGGTGGAGACACACATTTTACCACTTTGGAGGTGTCGCTCGCGCAAACTATTCAGTTTAGAAAAAAATTATATTAGAAATCTCAATATCATTTTTGAAGATCTATCCATAGATACCCCATACGTATTGATGAAAAAAATTTTGAGTTTCAATTCTAAGTATGAGGAACCCCCAAAATTTATTGTTTTTTTTTTTTAATATTTTTGTGTAAAAATGTTAATGCGGTTCACAGAATACATCTACATACCAAGTTTCAGCAGCATAGTTCTTATAGTTTCGGAAAAAAGTGGCTGTGACATACATGGACGGACAGACAGACAGACATGACGAATCCATAAGGGTTCCGTTTTTTGCTATTTGGTTACGGAACCCTGAAAACGGTTTCCCAGAAAATCATTAGTTTATAGCAGGGTGTACCGCGGTACGACAAGCACGTGAGGCTAACTTAGATCTTAAAGATGTTGATGGAGATGCTGGGCTGGATGTGGGACGTTATGAGACGAAACTAGAGACGTAGCAATACATCTGGGGCAGTCTCTGGAAAATCTGTTCCAATTTACTATACATTGGAAGAAGGAAAAAGATCAACCAACAAGGTGGTAATTATAATAAAAATAATTATAATCTATGAAAACAAATCAATTCTATACAAGGTTATTTTACAAACAGTAGCCAAATTTTAAACTTAAGTTCAAATATATAAATAATGATATATCGTTATTGTAGTTTACGAATATACGAGTTAATAAGGCTTCTACATTTATTTCAAACTGTCCCAAATTGTATGTGATTTATGGCCAACCGATAGACCCTTACGAATGTGTCCGTGCGCAGTAAATTCGTTTAAAATAATGCATTAGCACGCATTTTGAATTTAAAAAACAAAAAGGATAAATTTTTCTTCTATTCTGAACCTTCTGTGCAAATTTGGCCCGTCATTGCAAAATAACCTTGTATACTGTATGAAAACATTAAAACACATTTTCTAAGTACTTAATTTAATGTCTTCCTTGATAATAAAACATTACAAAATTGTCTTAAAACTAATTATTGTCATTTTCTTATCAAGTCTTGAGCTTGTAATTGCATACAGCACCATCTAGCAGCACATGAGTACATTGAGAAAAATAGCAGTAAGTAAGTAGCGGAGATATTTTTTGTCATAACTTCACATAATATTAACAAATTTATACAAATGTAATAACGATTGTACTTATTTTGCATTAATTTAATGTAACAAATAATGGAAGTACACCAAGATATAACAATCGTAACTAAGAATTTGATCTTTATTGATCTTTAAAAATTAGTATCAAAATTTTTACAGCGCCATCTAGTGATCACTAACTCAACCTTCTGTGCATATATGTCGATTATCAAAAATTGTACTTAAGCTTATATAAATAAAGTTAAAATTAGTTTAACAAGAAGACGGCTTGTTGATCGAGACGCGACAGACCACCGCTTTAAGGTTGTTCATGGCTTCGTCTTGAACGGCTTGATCATATTTCTGTAAAATTAAAAGAAATTTAAGATTGAATAAAACTACTTTTAAGGATTTTATCGCGTATAATAATACTTAGTTTTCAAGTTATACTTCTTTTGGGGCGTTCGGGAAAAATTATGAGAGTGAATTTTTTTACGATGCGCGTGCACACTGACACCTAAAAGCGACAACTTCAGTAGGTAATTATTGTCTCTCAAGTTTTTTTTGTTTTGTAACGCTAAAGAAGTATTACTTCCTACGTGCGTATATAAGTACACACACACTTTTTTTTAAATTCCTGACGTTTCGGCGAACCAGTCATGGGGGACTGAGGTGATTAACGTTCCAATGTCAGAGTTAAACCGGACTACCTTCAGCTTTTTAATTATTAGTTTTTGGTCTGATCTACACAGAATGAACTTTCTGTGTTTTGAAGTCTTGCATTGGTATGCTTGGATTTAGTTTTAATTTGATTAGTTACAGGATCCCAAGCACATGGCAGCACCCATCCATCTTCTCTATTGAAATTAGGATGTTTTTTAATTTTAATAGCCTCACGTATCATCCTTGGCAGGAATCGATGTTCTTTCGCGAGAATTTGTGGTTTATCAAATCTAATGTAACGGCGGGGGCCGTCTAGGATATGATCACAAATTGCTGAGTTCCCGGAACATTGGTGTTTCACTCATCGGAAAGCGCTCGAAATTTCAGTTGGAAGATTTCACACGGAATGACAGACAGACAGACAAACAAGTGACTTAATAAAAACGTGGTGAAAAATATCATTGTTTAAACTCACTTTTATTAGCCTCTTTTATTATTTATCTATCGATCTATGTAACCGTATGTTTAATGTAATTTTCACCAACTTCTGCACTCGTATCAAGGAACGATGTCAATACAATAATTTAATAATTCTATCCTAATGTACTGATCGGGTATCACCAGGATAAAATAAAGTTCAGGACCATGAAGCTCATGATGAATGCGTGAAAGACCATACAGTCCATCTGATGGTAAGTAGATACTGTCGGTCATAGACATCTACATCCATCCTTAATCATGAATCAAATTGCAGATGCGTTGTCACCCCTGAGGACTAAGATGGAATGCATTATCTCCAGTAAAAAGGGTCCTCCCCCAAAGCACGGTCCTGAGCCACTTGCATCTATTACTAGTTTGTTTCTCTATCTAGGTGATACGGCAAATGATTTACTAAATACCATAATTTTCATAATGCATAAAATATAAGATAAAGGATTACGTTTGTAGCAACTAAATGTTACAATCCTTATTTTTAGACATGTAGAGCCTAATAGTGTAATAAATCAAAAGAATATTTTCTTTCGAGTAAAATTGTTTTATATTAGCGCCATCTACTTCATTCTACAGGTAAAGTCATCCAGCAAAAATTTATTAACTCTCACGGTGGTACTTAAAATAGACGCTAGATGGCCTAAACACGACTAATTTAATATAATATTCTGTCTCATTCTCTCACAGGCTAAATCCTATAGATGTATATGTCTCTTTTAGTGTCACCTTTTCGTTTCACCGAGTTACAAATCACAACAATTATAAAAAAGTTTTCGCTTCAAGAAAACTGTCTCACCTCGTTGATGACGACGGTCGGCACGAAGGACAGAGGGCGCTGGATGAGATCGGTCTTGTCTCCGTAAGACGCCAGCAGGTTGTCGCCCATCTCACCGGACGCGCAACGTTTTATTTTGTCCGAGTTGGACAGTTTTTTAACTTGCTCTAAGCACTGGAAGGTAAACGGATCATATTTATTCACTTAGTTTACGTATTTTTTTTTTATTATAAAAAGATACTAGTAATTCTATTAAACATTACTAATACTCCCTTGATCCACTTCTCGTAAGCTTAAAATGCTTGTGTTAGAAGTGGTTCACGACAGGAACCCTCGACCTATCGAGTTCGCGGTGCGCGCCCTGCCGTTAGGCTAGTGACGCTTCGATTTTAATTTAAAAAAAAAACATTTTTTTCCGATAAAATATAGTCTAGATCCCGCCCGGTACTGCACGTTACTGTACTCTTTGGCCCAGACAGACCAAAATTTTAAAAATGGTTGGTTCATGTCTTAGTTGCATGCAAATAAGGTGATCGCTACACAGCTACTTCTAATTTATTTTGTGTTGTTAATTGTGTAACTTAAATGATTGTAAACTGTGCAACATTGTAAATAGTTGTAAAGGTCCCGCTGTGTTCCTCGCTGGCTCTTCCTAGGATAGTGCTATTTTCCGAACCAGTGATAAATTAAACATAAGAGTGACTTTCAATAAGTTTTTATTTATATTATATATTGAATAAAAAGTTTCTGTTTTTGTTACTGTTTATGATATGGTAGGTATGTAAGACTAAAAGTTATAAGGGAAATTCTGAGTACTTAAGTAATATTTAAAAAATACTCAAAAAAATAAAACTAAAAGAGAAAGAATGTAGTATGTAATGTAGACCATATTAGTGAACTCACCGTGTCCAGAGCTTTGTCGGGGTTGGCTTGGCTCATAAGGCAAATGACCAGTTCCATCTTATCCGTGTCGAGGAGGCTGCGGTCCTTCAGGATACAAGATTGAAGCTGCACAGATTAAAAAAAAATATTATGCATATGCAGCATGACTATAACATGTAAATTATATTATCCTATAATGATGATTTCTTATATTTACGCGAACACTACACATTTAAATAAAACTAATCTTACGGATTTTATCGCGTATATTAATTTTTATTAAGTTCATTCTACGTAATCGGAACAATTTTTTTTTAATCTGGAGGTAGCCGTGGTTAACTATGACATTGGGACGTCATACATCTCAGTCCCCCCCGTGACCATGGGTGCTATAAAGTGCTCGGAACGTCGAGAATATAAAATAAGTTAATATACGCGATAAAATCCGTAATATTAGTTTTATTTAAATTCCGTAATGATTTCTTATATTTATGCGAACACAACAAATTTCTATGGAAGAACTTTCTAGAATGTTCTTGACTCTCCTAGTTCTGCTACTCGATACTAGAGGGCGCTAGTGGGAACTAGTGTCGCCATGTACCATGTATTAATCGTGGCGCGCAACAATACCACTAAACTCATTCTGCGTAGATCGGACCAAAATTATTAATTAAAAAGCTAAAGATACTCCGCGTTAATTTAGACTTTGGGACGTCTAACGTAAGCATCATATTAGTCTGTACCCGTGACATCAAACATCGAGAATTGGAGTTTTGGCGGCAACTTGACCGGCGACGGATTGCTGCTCCTGTATTATTGTTTAAATAATGGTTTGAAGTCGATTTTGATATGTGAAAGTGGTGCGATTTTGTGTATTAAATATCTGCGCGTGTAAACTTTTAATGGAAACGATGAAACAAGTGCTCTGATGGTGATGTGATTCTCAAATTAAGGTGTCTATCTGCTTAGCCGCCTTGAGATATATCGCCAACTGTCTGCTGTCTGCTGGCTCAAGTTGCCGTCAAAATCTCCCAAGGGCTGCACAATGTGATGCATCAACATATTTTGAAGCAGTGTACTATGAAGGATAAATAAACATTTAACTTCAGGCTCAGAAAGGCTAGAACCCAGGGCCGTAAAGCGAGTAATAAAAAAAATGGGACGTCAAACGTAAGCATCACATTAGTCTGTACGCGTGACATCAAACATCGGGAATTATAGGCTCAGAAGGGCTAGAACCCAGAGCCGTAAAGCCAGTTTTATAAAAACATCGGGAAATATAGATAAGAAAATTAAACGCGAGAAAAAATCCGTAAAAATAGTTTTATACAATTATATTATTTCTTCCAACTACTGACTTGGACTGACTATTTCGTGGTTGTAAACGCTACTGATGATCTCTAGGCCCCGGGTTCGAATGTCGGTTATTGGGGTTTTCTGTCGAGTAATTCTCATTACCAGCCGGGAAGTTGGCGGTGTTTCATCCCCGTGCCTCAGAAAACACGTGAGGCCGTTGGTCCTGCGCCTGATCTCTCTCCGGTCGTATCGGGATGCCGTCCCATAGGACTATGAGAGTGAGGCAATAGAGAATGCACCTGTGCTTGCGCATGCACTCGTGCACTATAACCCTGTCTTGCGAAGATGGCTGGTTTCCGCTGAGTCTGGAAGGCATTATTATTCCTTACCTTATTCCCGTAGCATTCATCCGCGCCATGCTGGCATGTGAACTGCCACTTGCCGTTTACTTTGTCGTGCTGAAATTTAAAAATTACTTATTAGAAATGTTGTTAAAAAAATGTATAGAGTTTAAATGTATGATAGAGGCAAAACACATTTATGGAAAAAAATTCGTTATTATTCCAATGCAACAAAAACAAACGCTACCAAAATAGTATAATTTTTTACAAATGACGCAAATGTTGAAAACACGTTATGCTAGCTAGAGTTCACATTTAGTGAACAAATTTTTAATTACGCCCCTGAATATACTATGTTATAACTTGATACTGACAAAGGAACCGCATACGAGTCAAAGAATCAAAGAAAAAAAAGTATACACAAGTTTAACCGATAGAGCTCGACCTGGGCCATAACATAGAATACTTTTATTCCGATAAAAGGATCCCGCAGGATAATTTTCAATTTTGGTCCATTTTTATGAGGGGGCAATCGAGCATGCGACTCATCTGATGGTATGAGTGACTACCGCCGCCCATGGAGAACTGCAACACCAGGGGAATCGCAGATGCGTTGTCGGCCTTTTACAAAGGAATAGGCTCTTTTCTCTGGTGGCTCTGGTGGTAATCGATTCTACAAGGAAGTTGTGCAAGGAAGAAAACATCTTCTAAATCGCACAGTGGTGGACCACCAATCGTCCAGATGATGTGGATGGTATCGGGAGTTCTGCCGCGATGTGCGTTCGTGAAATTTGGCGGCTCGTATTAATCCGAACAATTCCTCAGAGCACTCCCCGTGGTAGATTCGATAGAAAATGCAAAAGGATGCAACATCTCTACGCAGTGCCAGTGTATCGAGCCGATCAGAAAGAACTCGGTCGTCGACGATTCGAACCGCTCTGCACTGGATGCGGTCAAATGTAAGGAGCTGGCACTGGTGCCCCGGCCCAGAGATGAGGCCGAACCTGCGCCTTGTAAAGTTGCAGGCGTTGTGCTGGCACGAAATACTGTCCCCGCTCTGCTGAGCACGCCAAGCTTTTTAGAGGCCAATTTGGCCTTCCTATCCAGTCGCCCCCAATCCGAGACTTACCAGGCGAACAGAGTCGCGGGCGGAAGCTAGTGAAAAATAAAGGACCCTTTGAGCTTGGGGGCCCCGGGGCAGTGCCCCGTTTAGCACTACGATATCTACGCCACTGCTTGTACACTGTATTGTATAAAAATGATTCTATTCTATTCTAGTCAGTTTATACAGTAAATATACTCACGGTGGCCTTTCCATACGGGACGAGTTTGACTTTCACGGCTCCTCGGAGGTCGCGCCACACGGGCGCCAACTGCGTGGTGATGAAGCGCTTGCTGTCAGGGCACAGAGACTCGTAGTATACCGCGATCTTCACCTAGGATAATACGCATAAAAAGCATGAACGCCTGGCACGCAGAGGGGTTATACAGACTACGAACTTCCTGACACAACTTTCTCGCTTTCTTTGCATCCATATATCTACGTATATGTCAGTTAAGGGCCCATCTTCTATATATCGCCAATTTGGTCGATAAAGTTTTGTCTCTAGTTTTTATTAGTGATTTTGACGAAACAAAATTTTAAAAATGACATTTCTTTATGTAGAATAAGGGTGACAAACGAGCACACAGTCCACCTGATGGTAAGTGGTTGCTGTAGCCCATAGACATCTACATCTTGACGGTTCCGTGGCGCAGTGACTTAGCAATGAGTTGCTGCGCTGGGGGGCGCGGGTTCGAATCCCGCACGGAACAAGTATTAGTATGGCCTACAAATAATTGTTCCGGATCTGGATGTTTGTCCTTGTGCAATTTGTGTATGTAAACTGCCTCCGCGATACAGGAGAAAATCCTAGTATGGGGGTAACGTTTTCTTTAAACAAAGACATCTACATCTGTCTTCGTTTGCGAATTAAAATGCAGATGCGTTGTTAGCCGTGAGGACTAAGACAGAATGCCACTTTTCCAGTAAAATGGGTCTCCGGTTCTCTACATTCACCATACGAAACATAGCAACATTAAGCTGCTATTTTACGCTGGTATTCTGTGAGAGCGTGGTCCTCCCCGGTCGAGACGACCCATTCGTGCTACAACTATACTATTAATATATCTCTACCACGTAGAAAATGTGTTAATGACATGTGCTATATAATGGTGCGTTCCATCCGAATATATCCGTATATTATGCTTGACAAATATTCGGATAATTGGAACATCCGGATACCCGGATAGCATGCTCTGATTACACCTAAAGGCATTTATAATATAAAAACAAATTATAAACTATATTTTATTCTTCTTGTGAGAAACAAGAAAAATAAAAAAATGGAATAAAACGCAGGTATACATACCTTGTTGTCATCTCTTTTAGTCTTTGCCCACGCGCTACACAAAATGGCCGCCACAAAAACGAACAGCAGTGTGCGCATTTTGTTCTGAAACAAACCGAATACAACAGAGTTAGTCATTATTTAAGCTATTCAAAATGACACACGAGGACACATCTAATATAGACCCATATATAATACTTGTAACTGAGTACAGTGCAAACTTCATATAACCATTTATTCTGTGATATAACGAAACCAGTGCTGCCAACTCTTAAAAATATTTAATGCTAAATACATGTTTGTAAAATGTCTTCGTCTCCGACTTTTCTAATGCGTACATAGGAGTGGAATAATTTGCCGGCGTCCATCTTTCCGTCCGAATACAATCTGGGCGTCTTCAAGGCAAGAGTGAATAGGCTTTTGTTACGATAAGACAGTGCGATTTACCATCTAAGGCTGCATCAACACTTACCACCAGGTGGGATTGTGCTCAAGCACTGGCTTACAATAAGTTAAAAAAAAATGCCAAAAATGTGCTAATATTTGGAATATGCTAAAGAAAAAGACGATTTTACAAGTTTTATTTTACAGAATGGTACAATATTCATAGACAACAATCAGTCAGTCCGTGATACAGACAAAATATTCAGATCCTCGTCGGTATGTTCTTGGCCAGGTGCTATTGGTGGGTCTGTAGCAGAAGACAAGGACGCATATATCTCATTTGACCTTTCGTAATATTGAATCAGGTATGTCGTAGGAGGGACATCATTTGTTTACACTTTTCAGTCCAAATTTTACGTTAGCGTTTAATGTGTTTCTCAGTTTTGTTTTAAACCAAGTTAACTTAGCTGAATACACGTTTGATGTGACAACGTCAGCAACATTGTTGCAAATCCAGCCTGTTCTAAGAACGGATTGTTTCCTGCAACGTCCTTGATGTCCAGAACTTCACACCAAAATTCAATGGTGGATGAAGTACACTGCCACTGCACGAAACTGACGGAATGAGGACTAATAATCTTCCACTCACTAGATGTCGCTAGTTGTGACTGAGGTAAAGTTTTTTGTTACACAGTGTCAGTTAATTGAGAAATTAGTTTTAAATAATAGTTTATCATTATCTAGAGTATTATATTAATACACAACACCATGCGTCTGTGGTTTCCATTTTAATTTTTTGCACTTTATAACACTTTTTTAATTTTTCTGCTTTTAGTTTTATTTATAATTTGGTTTATTCATTTCCAAACTTATTAATGTAAAATGTAGCTAGTAATACATAGTCATACAGAAAGAAACATTGAAGTTTTAATTTTCCTAAGAAATTGTCGTCCCCGCTATGAAATCTGTCAAACATTTTACCTCATTGTAAAGTGACGCCGCGCCGCCCTGTAGGCAGAAAAAGTCGTGGATTTCACCGTCATTAGAAAATACTCGTTATACCAAGTAATTCACGATTCGTTGTAACGAGGTAAGAAGTCGTTATAAAGAGGTTTTTGATGAATGTATTCGTAATGTAGTAGAGGTATATTTTGCATTAGCCCTTAGCATTTCTAGGGGGATTTCGAAAAATTCATTAAATCGAGGAATTTATTATATTGAGGCTCGTTATATCAAGGTTACACTGTAATGCGATGTGTGTAAAAGTGCATAACATGTTAGATAGCCGTGATAGCTCGGATGGTTAGCGCTCGCTGTAAATATCACAATACGCGAGGAGCCCGGGTACGAACCGTGCCGATATCACTGAAATTGTAAATTACAATTTTAAATATCGATTTACGCGTGTACATCTTTGTAACGGAACCTTTTAATGCAATTTTCACCAAACTTGTAGATTATTTCGTTAGACTTGACAATTTTGCACTCGTATCGAGGACCGATGACAAAACAATAATTAATAAGTTTATTCTAGTATCCTGATCAGGATCACCAGGTTAATTTAAAATAATTTTAGTTTTAGCGTTCTTATTTTGTTTTTTTTTTTCTACCGAATTCAAAGAGAAGGATGTGCTCAATTCGACTGAATGTTTTTTTTATGTGTGTTACCTCATAACTTTTTTCTGGATGAACCGATTTTGATGATTCTTTTTTTATTTGAAAGCTGGTGCTTCTCATGTGGTCCCATATAAATTTGATCAAGATCCAATCAGTAGTTTTGAGTTATCTTTAATAATGCGTCGACGGTTTTCGTAGTAGAGCCATGCTGCAGCTATATTACTGGTATAGTTGTAGTACGAATGGGTCGGCTCGACTGGGAATGGATCACGCTCCCAGAGAATACCAGCGTAAAATAGCAGCTCAACGCTGTTGTGTTTCGTATGGAGAGTGTACAGAACCGGAGACCTTTTTTACTGGAAACGTGGCATTCCATTTTAGTCCTCACGGGTGGCAACGCATCTGTATTTTGATTTGTATTAGAGGATAGATGTAGATGTCTATGGGCTGCAGCAACCACTTACCATCAGGTGGATTGTGTACTCGTTGGTCACTCTTATCCTATATAAAAAAGGTGCAGGACAGACGGCTTTACGTGCTTTCCGAAGCACGGGGTTGTAACACCGCCAGCTTCCTGACTCCGGGCAGCTACTGAGAATTACTTGATGGAAATGATTTTGTCCCGACCCGGGATTCAAACCCTGGACCTCATGATCGACCACTGGATTAACGAGGCAGTCAGCTTATTAGATCTTACAATATCTATGTCTATTGTTGCTTCATATGGACACGTAGCTCATTAAATTATTAGTGTCATTGCGTAGGCGTTGCATCGTGAACAAGGACAGTCATGAAGATGAATGTCTGCATCTGGTTGTGCAAATACGTCACCTTATTCCGGATTTCTATATACAGGGTTATTTTTAAAAGAGCAGCCAAATTTTAAACTTAAGTTCAAATATATAAATAATGATAAATAAAAGTTATTGGAATTTTGTGAAAATACGAGTTAATAAGGTTTCTACTTTTATTTGAAACTAGCTGTTACCCGCGACTTCGCCCGCGTGTAATTTAGGGTTTTAATTATGTTGCGCGGAACCCTAATTATTTTTCTAAAATTTAAGTAGCCTAAGTTACTCCTTATAACATCAGCTGTCTGCCAGTGAAAGTCCCGTCAAAATCGGTCCAGCCGTTTCGGAGATTAGCCGGAACAAACAGACAGACAGATGCACTCATGAAAAGATGTACTTTACTGTGTCGCGGTTTTCCATTGGTTTACGACATATTAAGTAATATTTTAACATTAAACTCGAACCATAAAAGGATAGTCTTACAATGGGTGCCGTATATTGGTTTAGAGGGAAATGAGGCGGTAGACGTTCTTGCTAAAGAGGCGATACGTGATGGGGATAATTTCGATTGTGTTCCTTATTTCTCCGAACTCTTATCTAAAATCCGAGAAAACTGTACAGAAAAGTGGTTCGAACACTTTGATGAAAGGTCACTGTCAAAAGGTATTTGGTACAAGACGATACGACCGCATCTTTCCCGCTTCCTTTGGTTTGTAGGATGCAATATGGGAAGGCAAGAAATTATTACAGCAATGAGGCTTCCTTCTGGACAACATATTCCATTAGCGTTTATGATGAGAAAAGTGAATTCACCATATTCAATCCATCCATTCAACACTTCAATTTTATTTAATTGTATATAGATTATCCCAAATTGAATGTCATTCGTGGGCAACAACGTTTTCGCCTACCGATCGACCCTTACGAATGTGTGCGTGCGCAGTGAAATCAGTTAAAACAATGCATTACCACGCATTTTGAATTAAAAAAATAAAAAGGACAGAATGTTTGAGATTTTTTTTTAATTAATTTTTTTCACCGTTTGTCCATATTACTTATTCTGACCCTTTTCGGCACATATGGCCGATATATATATATATATATATATATATATATATATATATATATATATACGATACGAGTCGTACTGTTGTACTTCTGCCAGTGTTAAGAAGAAATAAGAAATAATAACGCGCCATCTTGAGGTTCACATCGTTATCAGAGCATTTGTTTCATATTTTCCAGTCATTTATCAGACCAGACATTTAACAGGTGAATTGTGTGTTCGTTTTTCAACCACATTTTTATAAAAACAAAGTAGGTACTTCACCGCTACCAAACGGTAAAGTGTAAGTTGGCCTAGTCTCAAAAAATACATTATACACAACGTTTCACGACAAACAGTTAAACTAACACTATAGCAGTTTACGCGGTGAAAGCAAATGTCGAGAGTGCGTTCAAAATGACATTAATGTTCTTTTAGAGAAAGTAGGGCTTGTAAACGCAAGCGTTAGAACTAGTTATAGACGTACGTACATATATAACATTTTTAGGGTTCCGTCCCCAAAGAGTAACTAACGGGACCCTATTACTCAGGTTCCGTTCTCCGTCTGTCCGTCTGTCAGGGAGTTGTATCTCATGATCCGTAATAAATCCGTAATCCGTGAATCGGCAGTTTTTGCTATAGAACAATATAAAATAAATGAATATAAACAACCCATAACGCATAAATATCGTACCGGGCAAGTTGAGAAGGGTAAATATGTGATACCACACATAAGAAACTATTATGGTAAGAGAACTAGGCAATATTTAACTCCGCTAATATTTAATAGAATAGATTTTATAAGAGATACATCCAAAGACATAAGCACTGTAACATTACAGAAAAGACTGAAAGATGCATTCCTATGAAAAGTAGAACGTACTACCTATAATAAGTATTAATTAAGGATAGAGATATATATTGTAATAATATACCTAAGATAAGTATGTATGTAACATAAAATACGTATTAATGTATAACAAAAGAGCGCCATTATCGCCAACAAACTGTTGCTCAGTTTGGTGATGTTTATTATGTGGCGACGCTTGCGAAGTCACTTATAGATTTCACGATGTTTGTCCATCTGTCCGTCTGTCCCACGATTATCTAGAGAACGGTTTCGAATTTTCAAATTCTGTTTTCAGCAATCGATTACTGATCACCCAGGCATCTGAACCTCCTATTTTGAAACTGATTGCTCAACGGCAACCGTTAGAAACCGCTACAAAGCTGATTGCTTCGCCACTTTGCTATGCTGTTAGCTTGCT